TAATAGTATGAAAACTCTCATGGAAAGCACTTAGCTGAGCGCCTGGCTGGAGCACACTCGAACAGTAGTTATTATTGTTACAAGGACTCTCCCTCCTCCAGATATGTATAAATATATACATTTCTTAATACTTTACCTACAAGGGGGAAAAAAAAAGGCCCTTTCTTTATTTTTCTCTGCCCTGGTCATCAACTTCTTCCTAGTTAACCATTTTCTGTAGAGAGTGTTTCTACATTATTTTGATTGTTTGCAGCGGTTTTTCAGTCATGGTAATAACCACCTGGTGATAGCCATGTGTAGAGTCTTCTCTTATGTTGTTGGAAGAGGGTGTTTGCTATGACCTGTGTGTTCTCTTTGGCAAAACTCTGTTAGCCTTTGCCCTGCTTCATTCTGTACTCCAAGGCCAAATTTGCCTGTTACTCCAGGTATCTCTTGATTTCCTACTTTTGCATTCGAGTCCCTTATAATGAAAAGGACACCTTTTTTGGAGTGCTAGTTCTGGAAGCTCTTGTAGGTCTTCATAGAACCATTCAGCTTCAACTTCTTCAGCATTACTGGTTGGGGCATAGACTTGGATTACTGTGATATTGAATGGTTTGCCTTGGAAGCGAACAGAGATGATTCTGTCATTTTTAAGATTGCATCCAAGTACTGCATTTCAGGCTCTTTTGTTGACTATGAGGGCTACTCCATTTCTTCTAAGGTATTCTTGTCCACAGTAGTAGATATAATGGTCATCTGAGTTAAATTCACCCATGCCAGTCCATTTTAGTTCACTGATTCCTAAAATGTCGATGTTAACTCTTGCCATCTCTTGTTTGACCACTTCCAATTTGCCTTGATTCATGGACCTAACATTCCAGGTTCCTATGCAGTATTGCTGTTTACATCATTGGACTTTACTTCCATCACCAATCACATCCACAACTGGTTGTTTTTTTTATGCTTTGGCTCCATCTCTTCATTCTTTCTGGAGTTATTTCTCCACTGTTCTCCAGTAGCATATTGGGCACATACCGACCTGGGGAGTTCATCTTTCAGTGTCCTAACTTTTTGCCTTTTCATACTGTTCATGGGGTTCTCCAGGCAAGAATACTGAAGTGGTTTGCCATTTCTTTCTCCAGTGGACCACATTTTGTCAGAATGCTCCACCATGACCCATCTGTCTTGAGTGGCCCTACACGGCATGGCTCATAGTTTCATTGAGTGAGACAAGGCTGTGGTCCATGTGATGAGTTTGATTAGTTTTCTGTGACTGTGGTTTTCATTCTGTCTGTCCTCTGATGGAGAAAGATCAGAGGCTTATGGAAGCTTCCTGATGGGAGAGACTGACTGAGGGTAAAACTGGGTCTTGTTCTGATGAGCGGGGCTATGTTCCCTCTCTGTTGTTCGAACTGAGGCCAAACTATGATGGAGGTAATGAAGATAATGGCAAGCTCCTTCAAAAGGTCCCATGCACACACTGCTGCACACAGTGCCCCCAACCCTGCAGCAGGCCACCGCCGACCCATGATGGATCATGGATCATCGTGGACCATTGTGGATGATCATCGTGGATAATTGTTGGATCATCGATAAAGCAAGAGAGGTCCAGAAAAACATCTGCTTTATTGACTACGCCAAAGCCTTTGACTATGTGGATCACAACAAACTGTGGAAAATTCTTAAAGAGATGAGAATACCAGACCACCTGACCTGCCTCCTGAGAAATCCGTATGCAGGTCAAGAAGCAACAGTTAGAACTGGACATGGAACAACAGAATGGTTCCAGATCAGGAAAGGAGTACATCAAGGCTCTATATTGTCACCCTGCTTATTTAACTTCTATACAGAATTCATCATGCAAAATGCTAGGCTGGATGAAGCACAAGCTGGAATCAAGATTGCCGGGAGAAATATCAATAACCTCAGATACCCTGATGACACTACCCTTATGGCAGAAAGTGAAAAAGAACTAAAAAGCCTCTTGATGAGAGTGAAAGAGGAGAGTGAAAAGGTTGGCTTAAAGCTCAACATTCAGAAAACTAAGATCATGGCATCTGGTCCCATCACTTCATGGCAAATAGATGGGGAAACAGTGGAAACAGTGGCTGACTTTATTTTTCTGGGCTCCAAAATCACTGCAGATGCTGACTACAGCCATGAAATTAAAAAACGCTTACTCCTTGGAAGAAAAGCTATGACCAACCTAGATGGCATATTAAAAAGCAGAGACATTACTTTGCCAACAAAGGTCCGTCTAGTCAAAGCTATGGTTTTTCCAGTAGTCATGTATGGATGTGAGAGTTGGACTATACAGAAAGCTGAGTGCCGAAGAACTGATGCTTTTGAACTGTGGTATTGGAGAAGACTCTTTTTTTTTTTTTTTTTTTTTGGAGAAGACTCTTGAGAGTCCCTTGGACTGCAAGGAGATCCAATAAGTCAATCCTAAAGGAAATGAGTCCTGAATATTCATTAGAAGGACTGATGCTGAAGCTGAAACTCCAATACTTTGGCCACCTGATACAAAGAACTGACTCATTTGAAAAGACCCCGTTGCTGGGAAAGATTGAAGGCAGGAGGAGAAGGGGATGACAGAGAATGAGATGGGTGGATGGTATCACCGACTCAATAGACATCAAAGCTCCAGGAGTTGGTGATGGACAGGGAAACCTGGTGTGCTGCAGTTCGTGGGGTCGCAAAGAGTCAACGTGACTGAGGGCTGAACTGAACAGTCGTGGTAAAGTGCATCCTCCCTTGTGTGTGTGCTGTGCTCAGTCGTGTCTGACGCTTTGTGACCCCATGGACTGTACCCCACCAGGCTCCTCTGTCCATGGAATTTTCCAGGCAAGAATACTAGACTGGGTTGCTATTTTCCTCCGCCGGGCGGGGGGGTCTTCCCAACCTAGGAATCAAACCCACATCTCTTGCATCTCCTGCATTGACAGGCAGATTCTTTACCACTAGCACCACCTGGGAAGTCCATGGACCCTCTTACTTTGGTCATAATCCAGTACAAGGATTCCCAGGGTGGGTCCCTGGAGGTCCTCTTAGGCCTTCAGGGGGGTTCCCATGCTAATTTCAGCTACTGGATTAGAGCAAGGTAAATAAGAGCACCTTGAAAGTAGATAAGCCCCTCCCTGACCAGTTCTCCTGAAAGTGAAAGTTGCTCAGTCATGTCTGACTCTCTGCGACCCCATGGAGTATACAATCCATGAAATTCACCAGGCCAGAATACTGGAGTGAGTAGCCTTTCCTTTCTGCAGGGGATCTTCCCGACCCAAGGATCGAACCCAGGTCTCCCACATTGCAGGAAGATTCTTTACCAGCTGAGCCACAAGGGAAGCCCAAGAATACTGCAGTGGGTAACCTATCCCTTCTCCAGGGGATCTTCCAGACCCAGGAATCAAACCGGGGTCTCCTGCATTGCAGGCGGATTCTTTACCAACTGAGCTCTGAGGGAAGCCCGGCCAATTCTCCTACTCTGTAAATTTCATCATTTCCAGGAGCCTTCATTTCCTGCTTGATAAATTGGGAATGTTTATACTTTTGTCACAGGAATCTTGGATTATGCATTTAAACCCTTCAGCACAGGGGCTTCCCTGGTGGCCCTGCTTCCCCTTCAGGGGCGCAGGTTAGATCCCTGGTCAGAAAACTAGAGATCCTGAATACCAGCCTGACTCTGCCAGAAACAAAAGTTAAGCCCTTACCATAGGACCTGGTGTATAATAAACACCTCATAAATACCTGTCACCTTTATTACTGCCAGTACAAGCCGTTTCTTGGAAATCACACTTTTATCCTTAGCGGAACCTCGGGTATAATTAAAAGGTCAGATTACAGCAGGAAGCGGGTAGAATTACATCAGCTTAGTGAAGTGACACTGTTGCCTAATGCTAAGAACCTCTGGTTAGCTGTTACATGTGCCTTCAGTAAGTAAAAATAAGGAGAATTATTACTTAACAAGTACATTTGGGCAGAGAAAAGCACTGCAAACAAGAAGTCTTAGAAGTGTAGAGAAAGACAGAAAAGGATTCTCTAATAATTAAAAGTCACAAGGCTCTGTTGGTCTGTTAATGATACACTGATCAGCCCTTTCCGGTTGGAAGGTCTCCTTTTATTAAAAAAACAAAAGTAGCATGTGGGCATTGCCACTGGACAGGTTTTACCCATTAACCAACATTCCAGTGGATACAGACCGTGATGTCTAGGGCGTAGACATTATGAGCAGAGGCAGTTAGCATACAGACTTGAAATGGAAAGAGCCCTTGGAAGGGATCAAGTACAGGTGAAGGTGATGGTGACCTCACCCCCACTTTACAAATAAAGAAATGGAAGCCTGGAGCACGGGAGAAACGTGCTCTTGGTGACAAAGCCGTCTGAGGTGGAGTTTCACACTGAGACCAGCCGCTCTCCATCCAGCATCCTTTCTGACAGACCAGGATCCTCATCATGAAGGGACGTCTTTCCAGGGGGTGAGCTACAGCCACCCAGGGAGTTCTTTCCCACCTCCATGAGCCATCTCTCTTTCTCCCTCACCACGCTGCAGCTAACGGAAATGTCTTCCCTATGTGTAATGGAGCAAAAAGAAAACTTGGAGAAGAGGCGAGCCATGCAAGGGTTTCCCAGTTTTTCCTTGGGGTGCCCCTTATCTGGAGATTCTGATTCAGTGGGTCAGAGCTGGGGTCTGAGAATCCATAATACTAGTATACCAGGTGAATCAAGGAAGTTTGGACAACACAGGGCTAACCCAGGCCCACAAGAGTGTTAACCATTTTCTGCCCTGGAGTGGGCGGTGGGGTCAAGAGGTCACCAGGAAGGTCCACTTGCAGTTAATGAGAGTTAACCTGTATCCTGTGTAAATTCCTTCTAGCTCCTGTCTCCTAACAAAACCCTCATCCCTGGGCACACAATGGCAGCTCAAAAATGTTGCTGCCTGACCTACTTTGGGGAGATGATCTGAGCAAAAGACTCCCTGTCTAGCCTGGGTGACATGAACATCTCTCTGGCTTTGTGCTTAGACTGAAGAACCTGGAGCTGGCTGCTGTGGGCGGATCAGACGTCCATGTGAAGATGCTGGCGGCCCCTATCAATCCATCTGACATAAATATGATCCAAGGTAACCTTGGTTTCTGTGGCTTATGTTAATTGGCTTTTTTGCTTAGCCGCCACCTCGTTTTCATTCCTCCCCAGGTGTGGGTGTGAAATTCCTGTGATTAGCGGCAGCTGTTCTCCAGATGAGGCTGTCTGCACACTGTGTGAGCCCCCTCTGGCCTCCCCCCCTGCAATGTGAGGCTTTTCAAGAGTTAGGAAATTGCAGTGGGGGAGCAAACCAACCATTGTGAAGTGCCAGCAGTATGCTGGGCTCAATCCCTACTTTATCTAATCTCATAATAACCCTTGAAAGCGAGGAGTATATCCCCTTTTACAGATGAAGAAGCTCAGGCTCAGAGAGGTTGGTCAGTCACAGCTGGTCAGATCGGGCTGAGGTCCGTCTGACTCCAACCCACCCAAGCTTCATGGATGACCCTCTGTTCTCTTCTCCCTTAGGAAACTACGGCCTCCTTCCCCAGCTGCCTGCTGTTGGAGGGAACGAAGGTGTTGGGCAGGTCATAGCCGTGGGCAGCAGTGTGACCGGGGTGAAGCCAGGAGACTGGGTGATCCCAGCGAATCCTGGCTTGGGTGAGTTTCTCCAGGTGTCTCCGGCACGTGTTGTTTCACATCCTGTTTCACAGACATGGTACACATTTCCTCCTCGCCTCAGTGTAAGAAAGCAGCACAGGATTTACTCCTAAGTCCATACACCCACCCCCAAGGGGGATGGAAGCTGGGCCAGGAGAGCAGCATCTCTGTTCCTTTCGCTCAGGAGACAGGGCATCGGCTCTCAGCACTGTGCACCCGTGTTGACTGGAGCTCTTACATCCCTCGGGAATGTAGGGTGCAACAGGGACTCAAAGAAGACAGCCCCTGCCCTCCGGGAGGTTCAGATCTTAACTGACCAAATCTCCAAATCAACAACCTCCACAAAGGGAGTGCTGCGGGTTCGCGGCAAGCAGAGGGCACCTCTGGCAACTGTGTGTGTGAGAAAGACAGTCTTGAGGGCTTCAGGAGGAGGCTTCATTGGCAGGGACCTCTGATGGATGAATTTTGGTAGGTGGAGATGAGCCCTACATGGTGGCATGTGGAGAACACAAATGGAGCAAAGACATAAAGGTGACTCTTGGAAATGGAGGAAAACTCGGTGTAGCCTCCACAGAGGGTGTGCACGTGGGAGGGGACTGCAGAAGAAAGTGAGGGGGGTGCGGTCACTGTCACAGAGCGGGCGGGGCCGCCCGGGAAGGCCCTGCTGAGCCATGCTTCGGACGAGGAGTTTCTTGATACAGGGTGAGGAGCCTTTGTTTGTTTGTTTGTTTCCTTTATTTTTATTAGTTGGAGGCTAATTACTTTACAATATTGTAGTGGTTTTTGCCATACATTGACATGAATCAGCCATGGATTTACATGTGTTCCCCATCCCAATCCCCCCTCCTGCCTCCCTCCCCACCCCATCCCTCTGGGCCTTCCCAGAGCACCAGCCCTGAGCACTTGTCTCATGCATCCAACCTGGGCTGGCGATCTATTTCACACTTGATAATATACATGTATCAATGCTGTTCTCTCAGATCATCCCACCCTTGCCTTCTCCCACAGAGTCCAAAAGTCTGTTCTATACATCTGTGTCTCTTTTTCTGTCTTGCATATAGGGTTATCGTTACCATCTTTCTAAATTCCATATATATATATGTGTTAGTATACTATATTGGTCTTTATCTTTCTGGCTTACTTCACTCTGTATAATGGGCTCCAGTTTCATCCACCTCATTAGAACTGATTCAAATGTATTCTTTTTAATGGCTGAGTAATATTCTATTGTGTATATGTACCATAGCTTTCTTACCCATTCCTCTGCTGATGGGCATCTAAGTTGCTTCCATGTCCTGGCTATTATTATAAACAGTGCTGCGATGAACATTGGGGTGCACATGTCTCTTTCGGTTCTGGTTTCCTCGGTGTGTATGCCCAGGAGTGGGATTGCTGGGTCATGTGGCAGTTCTATTTCCAGTTTTTTAAGGAATCTCCACACTGTTCTCCCTAGTGGCTGTATTAGTTTGCATTCCCACCAACAGTATAGAGGGTTCCCTTTTCTCCACACCCTCTCCAGCATTTATTGCTTGTAGGCTTTTGGATAGCAGCCATTCTGACTGGCGTGTAATGGTACCTCATTGCGGTTTTGATTTGCTTTTCTCTGATAATGAGTGATGTTGAGCATCTTTTCATGTGTTTGTTAGCCATCTGTATGTCTTCTTTGGAGGAATGTCTGTTTAGATCTTTGGCCCATTTTTTGATTGGGTCATTTATTTTTCTGGAATTGAGCCGCAGGAGTTGCTTGTATATTTTTGAGATTAATCCTTTGTCTGTTGCTTCATTTGGTATTATTTTCTCCCATTCTGAAGGCTGTCTTTTCACCTTGCTTATAGTTTCCTTTGTTGTGCAAAAGCTTTTAAGTTTAATTAGGTCCCATTTGTTTATTTTTGCTTTTATTTCCAATATTCTGGGAGGTGGGTCATAGAGGATCTTGCTGTGATTTATGTCGGAGAGTGTTTTGCCTATGTTCTCCTCTAGGAGTTTTATAGTTTCTGGTCTTATGTTTAGATCTTTAATCCATTTTGAGTTTATTTTTGTGTATGGTGTTAAAAAGGAGTCTTTGGTGAGATGTGTTTTTTAGCACTTGATGGGTTTTGAGGCACAAACATCACACAGATGGATCCTGGCAGCAGCCCTGAGAGGGAAGCAGGGCTGACGTTCACCCCATTGGACAGATGAGGAACTGAAGCCTAAGAAGAAGCCCTCGTCCAAACTCAAACAGCAGACTGCAAAGAGAGCCCCCTAGATTCTGGTCGCCTGTTTTTTCCGCTTCAACCTGAGGACTCTTGAGGTTATAACTTGGCCAAGAGTCAACTCAAGCTTGCTTTGCCAGAAAAGCAGCTAATTGATTTGTGGAACAGGGAGGTACAAGAGATGGAAAGCTTCAGGCACAGCTGGATCTAGAAACCCCAAGTCTGTGAGAGCTCTTTCTTGTTCTCATTAGCCCTCCGATGGGATCCGTCCCCACAGTGATATAGAAATAGCAACAAATATTGACCACTCCTTTTGTACCACGCACTGTTATAAGCACTTTACCTATATTTATTCATATGCCCAGAGCGTGAGGTAGATATTGTTATTATTCCCATTTTCCAGGTGGGATAACAGTAAACGTAAAGGATTAAGCAACTAGCCCAAGGTCACCGGCCATTAGTTGGTCTGAGCTAAGATTCAGACCCACTCTGATACATACCTTTAATGGACAGTCACTGGCAGCCTGAGAGCAAACAGAATAGTGTGTCCCCCACAATGTGTCCAGTACGACCGCATCCATCCCCAGAAGGGCTCTGACCAGCCCCGCCCAGGTCTTTGCCCATCCAGGAACCTATCACCAGGGGGTGGGGCTTGGGCCACTCCCAGTTGCCCTGGCTGAGTCTCTTGCCAACATCTGTGGTGTAGAGAGTGGGGCCTTGCAGTTGTCAATCCCAGAGGTTAGGAGGGAACAGTTCTAGAACAAAGAATGTACCAGGCAGGAAAAAGAAAAATAGTACCAGGAGTCTACAAAGCTCTTTCCTTCTCTGAGATCAGGGATGATTCCAAGAATGGCCCCACCCTCTCCTATACCCCGCCTCCTCCTCCTCGCGCCCCCCCACCCCCGCAGTGAAAGAGCATAGCCAGGTAAGCAGGTTGAGGGCCGCCAGGATTCACCCGCTATGATTGGTGCTTCGGGCCACCCACCCCCCACCCCAGGCGGAGTGAAGGGCCCCCAGCGTGGGTCAAACACAGTCTCTGCCCTCCACGTGCCCTTGGCTGGGGGTTGGAAGACGGCACTTAGCACAGTGCAGTGTAATGAGTGCTGTCATCCCAGGATGAACACAAAGGCAAGAGCTCCCTGTCTTGGGGAGCGTCAGGAAAGGCTTCCCAGAGAAGTGAGGCTTGAAATGGGTCTGGAACAGGGGTCCCCAACCCCACCCCACCCCCCGGGGCCATGGTCCCGGTCCCGGTCTGAGGCTGTTAGGAACCAGGCTGCACAACAGGAGCTTCATCTGCCACTTTCCCACCACTCGTATTACCACCTGATCCTCCACACACACACCCCCCCACTGCTGCAAAAAAGTTATCTCCCACAAAACCAGCCTCTGGGGCAAAAAGGCAGCGGAAACACAGCCAGGGGCAGAGGTGTGGCGATGGGAGAAGGCACAGCGCCGGCAGCACTGCAACAAACTCTGCGGCTGGGTCACGGCGGGGTGCAGAGAAGCAAGCGGAGGCTGGACACGTCGATGGGGCCCTGGTCACAGAGAGCTCACACCCACAGTCGCTGTGTGGAGGTGGGGGGCACTGATGAAGGGTGAAGGCGAGGAACGATTTGATCAGACGTGTACCTTACAGAGAACGCTCTGAAAGGGCAGAGGGTGCGGGGTTGGAGGGGGTGCAGGAAGCCAGTGAGGAGGTGGCCGAGCGATCCAAGCTTCAGATGATAAGGGTCCGGACAGACAGTGCTGTGGGGTTGGAGAGACAGGTGAACAGAGAAGCCGGCATGAGAGGGCTTGGTGATTAGACGGGAGAGAAGAAAGGACGCGGACCAGGAGTGTGTGGGTAATTGCACGTGTGTGGTGGTGGCATAGCCAGAACTGGGATTTCTCCCCCAGAAACAAGGTGATTCTTCTAAACCAGTTGCCAGTTGGAGAGGATGAGGGTTTATCATTGTCAAGATGATAATTAACCCGGTTTATTCAGTAAACATGTTGTGAGCATCCGTAGCGTGTGGGGCTCTAGCATGCAGCAGTGAACAGACACAGTCTTTCTTCTAGAAAAGACTGCCGTTGAGTACAGTGGCCATCATTAAACAGAGAAGTCCTCAGCTGGCCAGATCTTGGTCATTTCTCATGCTCTGAGCTGCTCAGCTGTTGCTGTGCCTGTAGTCAGCCTTTTCTCCAGACCCAGGGGAGGCAGGGCCAGAGAATGTGTGAACTGACTTGCCCGTTAGAAACACTCAGACCCCCCTGAGGCACCTCGGGGCCTAGCAAGCACTGGCCTGGGGGTCAGATGGAGGCTCTCCTTCCTCACCAACACTACCACCCCCCCATGACCTTGTTTAAATCACAATGACCTTGAGCCTCAGTTTCCCCATCTCTATAATGGAGCTAATTATCGTTGCCCTGTCAGTCTCAACTGAGGGAATACATACAATGACCTTTGCAAGCACTAAATTTCCATATGCATTAGATGGGAGGTTGGCAAACATTTTTCTTAAAGGGCCAATGAGTATATATTTTAGACTTGGCAGCCCATTCCACTTCTGCTCAACTCTGCCATTGTAAATAGCCATAAACAATACATTAAAAAGTGGGCTGTGTTCCAATGAAACTTTATTTACAAAAACAGGTGGCGAGCCAGGTTTGGCCCATGATCCATAGTTTAGTGACCCCTGCATTAGAAGGCAGAGACACTTAAGGCTTGGGTGCACATGAGTGGGGACTGGGAGCCTTCAGAACTCAGGCTTGGGAAATTTCGGTCAGAAACGGAGACCATGGGGGGCTCCACCCCTGCTGTGTGCCAGGCGCAGTGATGGTCTGTGCAGCCTTCGCCTGACGGGAGTGTTGCCCTCCGCACTTCATAGATCAGGAGAACTGCAGCTCAGAGAGGGTGACGTGATCATTCAGAGTCACACAACTAGCGAGCCGCAGAGCTGGGGTTTTTAAGCAGCTCTCTTCAACTCGGAAGCCTGAGGGTTTCTACTTTCCCCTGAAAGCCCTGGAGGCTGACGTGGAAGCTGCCCCCATCCCACCCCGGTTCTCTTAAGAAGAGGATTAGCGACTGCCAAGCCCCAGAAATCCATGTCAAGGGCTAGATTTCCACTGTCCTGCCATTAAGAGGAATTAGAAAACACCTTTGATTTCATGCACAGAGAGCCATTCACTAAGCGTTTGGCACAGAGTAGAGAACCGTAAATGTTGACTAAGATGAAGGGGGTGATGATTATAAAGATGACGCTGAAAATCTGAAAACTAGGCTGCCCAAAGCCCAGAGAAAGACAAGACAGCTTCTGGACTTCAAAGCACCCCTTCAGTTTTTCAGTCTCATTTTCTCAGCCAGCAGTCTTCTCTGGGATTGACACAGCCTTTAGTAAAGAGTGTTCCTGCCTCCTGGCCCCAGTTCCAGACCCCTAAAGCCCACCTTGTTTCTCCCCTCTTGCAGTACACCCAACAGCCTACCCCCTGCTCCCCACCCTGGACCACAGTAGAGCCAGGGCAGTGGGTCATGAGCACACAGTCAAGAACTGTGGAAGAACAGGCTGAGGACCCCTGAGACAGCCGCTAACAAGGCTCCGAGTCGTTACCCTAAGGTGACTCAGCAAGTCCTCCGCAAGCCAGGGCTCGAATCTGCGTATGTCTGACTCTGGTTTTTGTGGGTCCCTGCCTGCAGGGGTGAGGACCTGTCACCCTTCACCCAATGCTCCTCACATCCTGTTGATTCTATCTTCAAAACATAACTCAGATCCATCTACTTTTCTTCGTCCCTGCTACCAAAGTCTAGGCAACCAGCACCTCACTTCTGGGCCCCTCCAGTAGCCCCCTGATTAGCCTTCCTATTTCACCTCCGCCCTTTCCCCGCATCTTTTCCACATAGCAACAGAGTGATTTTTTTTTTTTAATTGAAGTATAGTTGATTTGGGGCTTCCCAAGTATCTCAGTGATAAAAAAAATCTACCTGCCAATGCGGGAGATGCAGGAGACCCAGTTTCAATCCCTGGGTCGGGAAGATCCCCTGGAGGAGGAAATGGCAACCCACTCCAGTATTCTTGCCTGGAGAATTCCATGGACGGAGGAGGCTGGTAGGCTGCAGTCCATGGGGTGGCAAAGAGTCGGACACGACTGAGTACACGACACACACTTGTGCCAATCTCTGCTCTGCAGCAGAGGGACTCGGTTATACATATGTAGACATTCTTTTTTTATATTCTTTCCCACTATGTCTTATCATAGGATGTTAAATGTAGTTCCCTGTCCTATACAGTAGGACCTTGTTTGTCCATTCGAAACATAATAGTTGTCATCTACCAACCCAAGACTCCCAATCCATCCCGCTCTTTCACCGCCTCGCCCTTAGCAATGGCAGATCTGTTCTCTGTGAGTCTCTTTCTGTTTTGTAGATAGGTTCATTGGTGCCATATTTTAGATTCCACGTATACGTGATGTCCTGTGGTATTTGTCTTTCTCTGTATGACGTATACTTCACTTATTAAAATAATCTAAAGTTGCATCAACATTGCTGCAGATGGCATTATTTCATTCTTTTTTATGGCTGAGTAGTATTCCATTATATATGTGTACCACGTCTTCTTTATCCATTCATCTGTTGATGGACATTTAGGTCGTTTCCATGTCTTGGCTGTTGTAAGCAGTGCTACTGGAAACTTAGGAGTGATATATCTTTTTGAATTATAGTTTTGTCTGAGTTTATTTCCAGGAGTAGGATTGATGGATCATGTGGCAACTCTATTTTTAGTTTTCTGAGGAGCCTCCATGCTGTTCTCCGTAGTGGCTGTACCAGCTCACTTTCCCACCAGCAGTGCAGGAGTGTTCCTTCTTCTCCTCATGCTCTCCAGTGTTTACTTGTCAACTTTAATGATGGCCATTCTGACCACCAGTGTGAGGTGGTACCTTATTGTAGTTTTGATACGCGTGTCTCTAATAACTAGTGATGTCAAACCTCTTTTCACGTGCCTACTGGCCACCCATACATCTGCAGCAACAAAGTTATCTTAAAGCGTAAATCCAATCACCTCAGACTTACTTTTAAAATTAGAAGCTTCCTGTTCACTAAAACGAAATCCATTCTTCATGCCATGACCCAGAGTACAACACGTCACACAGAGTAAGGTTAAGTATTGTTCTGTGAAACTTTGGCTTCTGTTAGGGGTGTGTGTGTGTGTGTGTGTGTGTGTGTACATGGACTGTGTTAGAGTGTAACACATGGTTATTGTGGATCAAGATCTTGAAAGGGGTACTTCCCTGGTAGCTCAGATGGTAAAGCATCTGCCTGCAAAGCAGGAGACCTGGGTTCAATCCCTGAGCCAGGAAGATCCCCTAGAGAAGGAAATGGCAACCCACTCCAGTACCCTTGCCTGGAAAATTCCATGGATGGAGGAGGTTGGTAGGCCACAGTCCATGGGATCGCAGAGTCGGACACGACTGAGCAACTTCACTGCCAGTGCCACATCGGCCACATCTCCAGCCACTCTTCCCACCAGGGTCTCCCCTCCAGTGTGTATTTGTCCTGTTCCACTCCTATCTCTGTCCCGCCTCAAGAGTCTGCGCTTCTTACTCCACGGGAATGTTTGTAGACTGAGTGGCTGCATCTCTGGCCTTCACCTCTCAGCCTGTCCCCTCCTCAGAGAAGCTATCCCTCACTCCTCCTGTCTGAAGTCATTTTCTCCCCCCGTTTCTCTCTCCCTGTATAACTTACAATGCTCATACTTACTCATTTGTGTCTCTCCTGTTCTGCTCCACTTGAGCAAGCACCCCATGAACACCAGGAGCGCGTCATTGTTCAAGGGCCTGGCTCACAGCTGGTATAGGATGAGTATCTAACCAGGGAGCCAGGTGACTCGGGGCAGGTCACAGCCTCGGTTCCTGCCCTCTTGAGTGAGGCATTTTATCATTCTTTTGTTTGGAACTGGAATGTGGGTCGGGGGTTCAGTTCAGTTCAGTTCAGTCACTCAGTCATGTCCAACTCTTTGCGATCCCATGGACTGTAGCACACCAGGCCTCCCTGTCCATCACCAACTCCCGAAGTTTACTCAAAGTCATGTCCACTGAGTCGGTGATGCCATCCAACCGTCTCATCCTCTGTCGTCCCCTTCTCCTCCTGCCTTCAATCTTTCCCAGCATCAGGGTCTTTTCCAGTGAGTCAGTTCTTCGCATCAGGAGCCCAAAGTATTGGAATTTCAGCTTCAGCATCAGTCCTTCCAATGAATATTCAGAACTGATTTCCTTTAGGATGGACTGATTGGATCTCCTTGCAGTCCAAGGGACTCTCATGAGTCTTCTCCAACACCACAGCTCAAAAGCATCAATTCTTAGAGGTGCTCAGCTTTCTGTATAGTCCAACTCTCACATCCATACATGAGTACTGGAAAAACCATAGTTTTGGCTAGATGGACCTTTGTTGGCAAAGTAATGTCTCTGCTTTTTAATATGCTGTCTAGGTTGGTCATAACTTTTCTTCCAAGGAGGAAGCGTCTTTTAATTTCATGGCTGTAGTCACCATCTGCAGTGATTTTGGAGCCCAAAAAGATAACGTCTGTCACTGTTTCCACTGTTTCCCCATCTATTTGCCATGAAGTGATGGGACCAGATGCCATGATCTTACCTTTCTGAATGCTGAGTTTTAAGGTTGGGATTTAAGGAGCCTTTTTTCCCCAGTTTATAGGATTGTTTCATTTCCCGTATATCACGTAATCTATGCAGCATCTCTTGGGGAGACCACTCAAAGCTCTTCTTGCCGGTGTCATCTGCATATTAGAGTAACCTAAACTCAGTCACTGTGCTCAGACTAGCAGACCAGCAAAGCCAAGGCCCACACCTAGGCCTTCGACTTCGACCTGCATGCTTTTTTCCATAATACCATCCCACGTCACCCTGCCTTAGGTGAGAATGAGACCCGAGCGGGAACCTGGGGCTTTTTTCGACTTCTCCTGCCCTGATAATGATGTGGCTCTCCCACCCTTGGAGTCCAGTAGTTTGAGATCCTCCACCTCCCGCTGTGTGACACCAGCTCAGTCTCCTGGTCACTCATGTGGGGGTAACAGTCTCCCTAACATAATTATCACCGGGGCTCAAAGACATTCAGAAAGACCTCAAGGTTTTCTTTTTTTTTTTTTCCTCCAAGCATTCCTGAAGCCCGCCGTCCTTGGTGCCTGTCCACTGAGGAGGGGGAGCTGGGATTGGGCGTGGGGGGGGGTCCTTCCTTACTCCCCTGCCTCCCCCCAGGAACCTGGCGGACCGAGGCTGTGTTCGGCGAGGAAGAGCTCATCACAGTCCCAAGTGACATCCCTCTTCAGAGCGCCGCCACCCTGGGCGTCAACCCCTGCACGGCCTACCGGATGCTGATGGACTTTGAGCGGCTGCAGCCAGGTAGGCGCCACGGTGGGCCAGCAGGCCGGGCTCTCCCGACTGGGGTGTGACCCACGTCCTGACCGCCGAGGCCTGGGAGCTTACGGGCGAGGGTCCGCGGGGAAGACGGCCCCAACCTGGGCGAGTGTGTCTTTTGTTGCTTGAGGTGGAAGGATGTCAGTCTGGGGCCTGGAAAACAGGCAGAAACCCCACGGAGGAGCACAGCCTGGAAAACCGCTGAGGGCTCACATTCCCTCGAGCTCGGGGTGGAATTCTGTCACTCAGCAAAAATCGTGCGGCGCTGTGCTGAGCGCTGGGACTGCAGAGCTCAGACAGGACAGTCACAGCCCTGTGTTTTCAGTAAAATGCTGAGCTCAGCGTCAGGCTCGCCACTCAGCGCGGCCGGAGCACTTTCCAGGCCACATACGTGCCCTCCCGTGCATCGCCCGTCAAACGCACCGGGCCGTCAGAGCGGCGAGCTGAGGGCCCCAGTCGGCCTCACCGACTGGCAGCTGACCTCTCGGATCAGCAGACCCTTCATCTGTGAAACAGGGAGGCAAGGTCCCGAGCGCTCACAGAGACGCGCCGAGCGGCCCTCAACCCAGGGCCAGGCCTACAGCGCACTACAGGAGCGCCCCTGGTACCATTTTCCCTCTTGATAAAGGAGGAGCCTGAGGTCGAGAGAGGTAAATTATTCACCTGAGATCACTCAGCAAGGAATGACAAAGCCGGGCGTTTTATTCAGGGCTTCCCTGAGAGTAGAGCCTAAGACGAGGACTGAGGGCAGACAGTTCCCTGGGGAGGTGACCCCAAGAAGTGAGAGTGAGGGACTGGGGCAGGCGAGGGACAGGAAGCGGGAGAAGTCGGTGAAGGCTGGTTCCCGCCGTGGGCAACCAGGGCCCAGTCCTGCTGGGGAGCCTCCAGAGACCCTCAGAATCCTCCTCAGAATTAACCTCCGAGACAAGGAGGCTGGGCCAGTTACCCACCACCTCCCATCCACCGTGGTTGCAGGGTTAACCACACACATCCGGGAGCCGGCTGGGCCCTAGAGATCTCCCAGCCCATCTCTGTCACGCTGACAGGCGACTGAAGTGAGAGATGCGGGAGGGTGGTCGGCTTGGGTGGCGGCTGAAAGCCGGTCCCAGCTTCCTGCACAGACAGATGCGGGTCCCCCAGCTGTGGCCGAGCAGCCCTGGGTCTCACTAGCAGAAAAAGCCAGCAGGTGTGATCTGGGACCTTCCCTTGGATCCCGCTGCAGCAGAGGCTGTGGTCGTGCGTGCCCTCCCCCAAGGCCCCCTCTGATTAGGACTGTAGCTGTAGTGGTCTGATCAGGCCATTCTGACACCACCCACCTCAAGTGCCCACGCCACGTCTCCACTTTCCCGCCCCCGGGGCTGGTGTGAAACACATGATCTTGACCCACGGTAACAAGTAACACTGTACACTATCCTCCGGCACATAGACATATATGAGTATACATGTAATGGAAACCAGAGTTTCATGGAACAGTACTTACCCTCACCATGTGTGATACACTCCACTAATCTTTATTCTATTTTCCTCAAGTTTAACCATGAAGAAGAAAAAAGTTCAGAACCCACTAGGTTGGTTTCATTACCCCCTGGATGGGTGACAGTCTGTAGGCTGACCCTAGCTAAGAATGATGAGCCTTCTTCTAGAAAGTCCTCTGTCTCTTGCATGAGGTCCCTGCTGCCTCTCTAAACCTAGCTAGCATCTCAGGGGACTGGAGCCCCTTCCCAGACATGATGGCCCTGGACTCTAATGAAGAACACCCAATGGGTGCTCCTAGAATTCCTCTTTTTATGGGGAAGAAACTGAGGTTCAAAGAGGTCAGGGCTCGCCCCACCCCATTCAGTTCCAATTCCAGTCGGTAGAGAAGCTGGGACTCAGACCCTGGCATGTCTCATTCCAGAGCCCATGCTTTCCCAGCACAACCCACACCTCCCCACTCAGCTCAAGTGCAAAGTTAGGCCTGGGTTTTGATCACAGACCCTGATTCAGGAGCTGCCAGTGTCTCCATTTCAAGGCAATAGCACATCTTCCCTCAAGAAGCCACAGGCTATTGATAGAAAGGGACTGAGCTACTAGCTGTAAGTCGAGGCTGACCATGAGTCTTAACAGAGTTGGCCTCAGGGTGCTGTGGGAGGACACAGGAGAAGAATCTAGAAAGGCTTCACATAGGAAGCCACACTGGAGCTATGCTTCTAAGGATGTATAGGCTTTCAAAACAAAGGGAGAGAGGAGACATTACAAACCAAGGAAAGAACCTAAGCAGAGACTTGACCCAAGAGCTGGGAGGATGATGAAGAATGCAAAATCATTGACACAGCAGGGGCTAAGTTCACATCCAGCGTGAACTCTGAGTTGCTGAATCCTGGCAGGCATCATGGGTGCTGTAGAGGCTTGGGGCGCACTAGGAGAAGAGACCACTCTCTCTGGACGGAGATGGCTCAGCAGCCAGGTCCTGGGTCCCTTCAGAGTCTGAGGACTCCACCTCTGACCCTCTAATAGGATCTTGGGCTGAAAGCCCTTGACCTGTTACAGATCTCGACTTGAGTCTCTTCCCGGGTCCACAGGGGATTCCGTCATCCAGAATGCATCCAACAGTGGAGTGGGGCAAGCGGTCATCCAGATCGCGGCCGCCCTGGGCCTGAGGACCATCAACGTGCTCCGGGACAGGTGCGTTGGAAGGCCTGACCCAAGCCCACCTCTTGGGCCTTTCCAGCCTGACACCCGCTGGTGCCCGAGTGTCCACCAGGTGGCGCCCTTGCATAAGCAGCCCTCCTTTCCTGCTTCTGCTGCTAGCTAAGGGCTGAGTCAGCCTCCCGCCCTGAAGTCCAGTGGTCTGGGGCTATAGGATGGTTTAGTCACTAAGTCGTGTCCGACTCTTGCGACCCCATGGACTGTAGCCCGCCAGGCTCCTCTGTCCATGAGATTCTCCAGGCAAGAATACTGGAATGGGTTGCCATTTCCTTCTCCAGGGGATTTTCCCAACCCAGAAATCGAACCCGGGTCTCCTGCATTGCAGGCAGATTCTTTCCCAACTGAGCTATAAGGGAAGCCCCGGGGCTATAGGATGAGTGACTGAAATGTAAAGGGAGGGCAGGAAGGAGGCAGAGAAGGCCCTCACTCCCAACCTGAGTTTTTAAGATGCTTGACTTCTGATAAGCCCATGTTTTCAAAACCACAGTTCACACTTGGGAATGTTTTAAGCTGTATTTCTTTCTGTGAACTAACCCAAGGCCCCTGTTTCCCTTGCATCTGTGTGATGCCTTGAAGTGCACTAAATACAGATGTAAAGGAGACAGGACAGGTTTGTCATCAGAGAGAGGAAGCCACTTGCTCAGGAAGACACAGCAAATCAACAACAAACTTAAGCTTCCCGACTCTTTCTCCATCGTATCATCCAGCCTCCTTAAGCCTCACTGTCCACATACGTGGCTGGGTCCATCAGGCAAGTCCAGCCTCATTAGGAGAACTGATACTTGCTCCAGTTCCCCATCCCCTCAGTTGTGCTAACAAGAATTGCTCTGTTTGCTTTGGTAAAGAGGCACAGAGCCACTCGTGGGCCAGGGTATGTTTGCACAACACTCTGAAGAGCCTCTTGAAAAGACAGGGGTGAGGAAGCGGAGTTTGTCGTTTCAATAGAAGAAGAAATCAGGAAGTGAACCAACTCCTCCCCGGGCCAGATGGTTTCTAGCGTCCTTGGAGCCAGTAGGAGCAGCAGAAACCACCCAGCGCGCTCTCACACCAGTGTGAAAACTGAGGCTAGCGGATGCTGGAGTGTGCTGAGCCCAGCACACGGGGTGTGGGTGGCCGGGCCCCAGCTTCCCCACAAAGAGAAACTGGGGTTCTCACACCTGTGGCAGAGGGGGTCCTGGGAGCCTCTGGTGGAGAGAGTGGGCAGATGTGACAAGGAGCCTGGATTGTGTTTGGTTTCCAGACCTGACCTCCAGAAGCTGACCGACAGACTGAAGAATCTGGGGGCTGACCACGTTGTCACAGAAGAGGAGCTAAGGAAAGCATGAGATGAAAAGCTTCTTTAAGGTACCAGTGAAAAGGGACCAGGCCCATCTCGCTGAAGAAAGGCAGTCACCTGAGTTCAGAAGGCTGGGCACGGGCCCACTGTTCGTCTCCAAAATCCCCGCTCCATCTCCTCGTGGCTGGGTAAAGCCCATTCCCTCAGCCAGGGGGCAGCACGCAGTAAGTGCCCAGGGGCTGTGAGAGGGCAGCGCAGACAGACAGGGTTGTTGTTGTAAAGGTTTCTGATGGGCTCCATCAGCCCACACAGCCGACGTGAATCTCAGAGCTGGGAGAGAGGCTGTGGCAGAGGAGGGAAGAGAAAGGAAAGAAGTCACATTTATGAGGCACCTGCCTTACGTTTTTTTTACCTGAAAATTCCCACAAAAGCTCTACAAAGTAGGTGCCGTCTGTTTTATAGATGAGAAAATGAAGACTCGGAAAAGACAAAGGACTTTACCGAGACCACACAGTCAGATGTAGTGAGGAGTTTACCAAGACCACACAGTCAGAGGTGGTGGGGTCAGGGCTGGCCTCAGCCTCTCTAGACTCAAAAGCCCCTCAACCCGTCCAGCACACCTCCCAGTGATCAAACCACATCCCAGTCTCTTGTCCCTGACCCCTGGCGGGACCGGACGCACACTCACCTGAGAACATTTCTGAAGTAGTAGGTCAGCACGTCTGATATAAACCAACCTGTAAGTGCCGAGGAGAGGGGGAAATGAAGTCTGTCAGGACACAGCACAGATGCCCTCTGTCTGTTCTCTCCCAGAGGTGAGTTTTGAACAGAATCCTCCCATAGTCCATGCAGTCGCAAAGAATCTGACACGACTGAGCGACTCAGCAACAACACTGCTGATCCTTGGGCTTCCCAGGTGGTGCTAGTGGTAAAGAACCAGCCTGCCAAGGCAGGAGACGTAAGCGACGCGGGTTCGATCCCTGGAGGAGGGCATGGCAACCCACTCCAGTATTCTTGCCTGGGGAATCCCATGGACAGAGGAGCCTGCAAAGAGGTGACTGAGTATGCCTAAAACAGATCACAGGATTAAGCTGGTAAAGAAAAGGCCCTCCCCAGACTGCATTTGAAGGCCTGATGGTCCTACTTTTTTACTCCCTTGGGCCCTTGGGCCAGGGAAGTGCAGTTTGCAGCAAGCTTACACACACACACACACACACACACTCTCTCTCTCTCTCTCTCTCTCTCTCTCTCTCTCTCTCTCTCTCTCTCTCTCTCTCTCTCTCTCTCTCTCTCTCTCTCTCTCTCTCTCTCTCTCTCTCTCTCTCTCTCTCTCTCTCTCTCTCCCTCTCTCTCCACCCCCACAGAGGGGTAGCTCGCTCACCACAGATTCTCTGGTTTCCCAGGACATGCCCCAGCCGCGGCTTGCTCTCAACTGTGTGGGCGGGAAGAGCGCCACGGAGCTGCTACGGCATTTGGCGTAAGTCCCTGGCCCCTTGGCCCCAGTGCACTGGCGCCCTCCCGGGCTGTAGCCAGGAGGACCACCGAGTGACCAAGTGCCAGTGGCCAGTGCAAGCCAAGGCCAGGTCAGCACACCCCTGGGCAGGAAGATGGGACCCTTGTCCCATCCTAGTTATCTGGACCCCGCCCCTTCAGCCTTCTTTACAGATGGCCCAGAGACCCATCTGGCTTTGTCTTCCCGGGGACCCCAGTAGTAACTGCCCGGCCCTCTGTGAAAGGGGAGCAGTTAAGGATTCATAACCTAGGGGCATCTGAAAAAGTCCTCATGTATTAGCTTTTAAAAATAGATTCTAATTTTAAAAGTAACATCATGCTATTATAAAACATCTTGAAAGTACGTAAAAGCACAAAGGAAAAATTTGTGCTTTTACATAAAAACTGACCTACCGTCCCGCCACAGAGGAGGATAAGTACTGTTGACAGTGTACGTCCTTTCATCCTTTTTTCCTTTCGTACAAACTTCTGGAATGGAAGGGCGCCTTAAGGGACACCTCCCAACTAGAGCACCAATGTTTGTTAACTCCTGTTTGCTAGCACTCACTTTAGCCAGTGGTACCGAGATGGCTGAGCCACCGAGGGAACCCTCTAGAATGTACAGGTGATGGGAAGATGGGTCTTGAGATCAGAGAGCTGTGGTAACAACCACAGAGCATGTACCACGCACCAGACTGTGCAGAGTGTGTGATGTACCCCTCCCACAACTACCTGAGCACGGGGTACCGCTCCCATCCCCATCCAGACAAGGCCTGGGGAGGGCAGTCAGCTTGCCTGTGTTGCTGTGAGCCCGAGCACAGCCCTTCAGCACGGCTCTGGGCAGCCTCCGAGGCCAACCACCATCCCTGCGTGGCCCGTCATAGGACAGAGTCTTGCTCAGTGATCACAGTGTAGACTTTGGAGTCAGAAAGGCTGCTGCTCACTAGCTGGGGATCTATGTGATCTGGGCAATACATGAGAAATGATCCGGGCCTCAGCCTCTTCATCAGTCAAATGGGGGGATATAAACTTTTCTACCTCAGAAGATGAGTCTGAGGGGCTCTGAGGTCCGCACAGAGCGCTGTACAAATGAGAGGTGGGTCCCTGCTTTCTCGGCTGTGAAAGAGGCATCATCAGAGTCCTCCCTTGGGGTCACCGTGAGGATTCATTGGCCAGCACATGTGAAATGCTCAGAGCTGTGCCTGGCACATAGTAAACACCCTGTAAACAGTAGCCATTCTGAATTAAAAAAAAAAAAAAACAAGTATATTTTGTACTGGGCTTTGCTGATTAACAAACAATATTGTGATAGTTTCAGGTAAAAAGTGGAATCAGCCATACATGCATGCATGTACATGTATCCATTCTCCCTGGAACTCCCCATGTATCCATTCTCCCTGGAACTCCTGTTCCACCCAAGTTGTAAGCGGCAGCTGCCACTCTGATTAAATCAAGTGTAGTGCTGGCCCACAGAGGGAGGGCTCACCCCGCTCCCCGCCACAGGAGCCACTTTGCAGAGCCGGGTGGCAGATGAAGGAACCAAAGACCAAACTGGCCCCCAGCGTCAGGGACAGAGAGTTCCCTGCCCCTCTCAGCAGCTTCTGTCCTTCTGGAGTTCGCCGAGCCTCCCTTGTGTTGGCCCAGAGTGAACCTCGGCTCATCCTGCATCAACAAACTCCTGCAAGAGCTGGGGGAGCAGGGAGGGGCACACAGGTTAAGTTGAGCACATGAAGACTTAGCTTAAGACTTGGCTTAACGTGTTTAAAATGACACAAGCCCCCTCTCCTGTTTGACCACTGGGGGTGTCAGACAGCAGGTCCTGACACTCACCATCGTCCTCTGCACCGTCCACACCATCCCTTAGCTGCCGAGCTGCTTCCATCTCACTGGTCCTTTGAATGAGTGTGCCCAGAGGGAGAGGCAGCGTGGCCCACTGCCCAGGGTCACCCAGGCGCCGTGGCGCAGAGCCCGGCTGGACTCGGGTCATGAGCTTTGCTTAGCAGGGCACTCTTCCCTGCAGCTCTCCCTCAAAGCCTGGGTGCAGCTTAGGTCCCCACCTGGTTAGACATCCAGGTCATCTGCAGAGGGTGTCTGCTTGCTTCTTTGTTTTCTATTGTTTTTAATATAGATCCTTGCCCCTGATTTACTGGGTCTGGAGCAGGCATGGGAATCTGTTTTTTTTTTTTAACCCTTCCCAGGGATTCTGTGGGCTTCCCAGGTGGCGCTAGTGGTAAAGAACCCGCCCGCCAATGCAGGAGACACAGGAGAAGGGAGTTCGATCCCTAGGTCAGGAAAATAGAGACGGCAGCCCACTCCAGTATTCTTGCCTGGAAAATCCCAGGGACAGAGGAGCCCGGTGGGCTATATAGTCTATAGGGTTGCAAAGAGTCAGACACGACTGAGCACGCACGCACGCGGGGATTCTGAGAACAAGGCTTGGGAACCAGGGTTGGGATAGATGATGTAGCCCTATCTCCACCTGTGACCACTCTGTTCTCTCTGGACTCCCCAGGCCTGGAGGAACCATGGTGACCTATGGGGGAATGGCCAAGCAGCCTGTCATCGCCTCTGTGGTAAGCTGGGGTCTGAACCCCACAGTCGTCTAGACTCAGGCAGTGCCCCGCCCCTGGGGAGTCTGTCCCTTAAGCCTGAAGTTCTTCCCCTCAGCACCTTAGTGTATGTCCTTCCTATTTCCACAGAGCCAGCTTATTTTTAAGGATCTCAAACTTCGGGGCTTTTGGTTATCCCAGTGGAAGAAGGACCACAGTCCAGGTGAGTGGATGATAGCCCTGTTATCGAGGGTCACACGAGAGGGCAGTGCCTACTCAGAAGTGACCAGCTGCTCTGAGCCCGGGAGAGGTGATCAGATCCACCCCCCCACCAACCCCAAAACAGGATAAAGGATAACAGCCTCTAGAAACAGCTACAGTCAGCAAATAGTTTTAGGCTAAAGTGGGCTTGTCCGCGAGGGGACCACAGTGAACAGGACAGCTCCTGCCACCCTCCCAAGGAGCTGACAGTGGAGGAGACTGCCATGGATGACACCCCAGTAAAGAGAACAAACTCTGGAACCAGCCTGCCTGGGCTCACATCCTGCTCCCACCATTACTACCTATAGGTTCTGCCAAGCCCAACTATGGGACATCGGGCAAGGTACTTAGCCTCTGCCTTGGTTTCAGTGTCATAATTGTTGGGACTTCCCTGGCGGTCCAGTGGCGAAGACGCCTCTGCAGGGGGTTGTCGTTCAGTCGCCATGTCATGTCAAACTCTTTGCGACCCCATGGACTGCAGCACACCAGGCTTCCCTGTCCCTCGCCACCTCCCGGAGTTTGCCCAAGTTCATGTCCATTGAATTGGTGGTGCCATCCAACCATCTCATCCTCTGCTGCCCACTTCTCCTCTTGTCCTCCGTCTTTCCCAGCATCAAGGTTTTTTCCAGTGAGTCGGCTCTTCCCAGCAGGTAGCTGAAGTATTGGAGCTTCAGCTTCAGCATCAGTCCTTCCAATGAATATTCAGGGTTGATCTCCTTTAGGATTGACTGGTTTGATCTCCTTGAGGTCCAAGGGACTCTCAAGAGTCTTCTCCAGCACAGGGGTTCAATCTCTGGTTGGAAAACTAAGATCCCACATGGCCTCAAGGCTCAGTCAAAAAAAAATTTTTTTAATAGTCGTAATTGTTAAAACTATTGTTAGCAATGTTTGACAGGCAGAAACTGAGGTTTAGAGTGGCTAAGTCGCTTGCTTCAAGTCACCCCCACCTAAGGAGTGTGCAGCCAGGACGTGAGCGGCAGTCGCTCTGACTCTAGACCCAGAGCCAGACACGTCTCCTTCCTCTCCCGGAGGACGGGTCCCCCAGAGTGTGGCCACCATCGCTCCCAGGCTGAGCCTGAGGAGCGACGCGGCATTCCCCCAGTGAAGGAGAGGGGAGCGGTCCTGTGAACGGGGTGTTTCAAGCAGAGAGAACAGCATGCGCAAACGGCCATCGGAGAGGGCGGGAAGCTGGACAGCTCAGTTGTGACCGGGTTAGGGAGGCCTTATAATCCTCTTTAAGGGGCTCAGACTCTGTCTTAAAGGGGAATGGGAAGCATGGAAGTGTTTCAAGCGGGAGATACAGTTCAGTTTGAATACTGAACGAACTATGAAAAAGCGCTTCTCAGCCAAGGCCTTCACTTCTCATTTTCCTTTGCCATCCTGGGTCCCTAAGTGAGAGGCAGGCCCCTGGAAGGGACCCTGGTGGCCTCAACAGGAGAGGTTCTGAGGGAGTCTTGGGCTCTCAGGGAAGGCTCTCTGCCCCCAGCAGAGCTCATCTGTCTGTGCCAGACACTGCCCACCCCCTCTTCCTCCTCTGGCTTCCTGCCCTCGCACCATTCGGGACTCCCAGCTACACCCAGTCAGGTTCTGTGGGTCTGAGCCTCACAGCGACCACTGCACCGGCCTGTCAGCTCCCGGGGCTGCTGCCCGCACCCTGTCCCCACCCTGGCTCTCACTGTCCTGAACACGGGTGGGAACCAGGCCATCGCCACGGGAGAGGCCTCCCTGGAGCCCAGCTCCAGCTCCTGGCAGCAGGCAGGCCCACGGGTCACCTCCCCACACCCTCCAACCTCCCACAGACCAGTTCAAGGAGCTGATCCTCACGCTCTGCGATCTCATCCGCCGAGGCCAACTCGCAGCCCCCGCCTGCTCCGAGGTCCCACTGCAGGACTACCTGTGCGCCCTAGAAGCGTCCACACAGCCCTTCACATCTTCAAAGCAGATTCTCACCATGTGACGTGACAACCCCAGAGGCAAGCGGGAGGGGAGATGGAGCAGCAGGACTGGTTCGGGCCCTCCCCCCACCCCCCAGTGGGGCCCCCACCGTCCACAGGCTGCACCTCTCCTCACTGTCCCTTCTGACCCAGAGAATTGGGGGGCCAGCCTCAGGGTATTGAATAAAGTCTGAACTTCCTAGGAGGGAAAAAAAAACAAACAAAAACCAGCAGAAGTCCTCTCTGGAGAAGGACCATCCCCCTGCACTCGCCATCTCCCAGCACGAAGAAGCCGCCCTCTGCCTGTGCCCCAGCAGCATGTCCCACCTGAAAGCTACACCTGGGCAGGACGGGCAGGGCACAAGAACCAGTCAGACAGATCTCTGCCCTCCAGCCGTGCCAGCCCAGAGGAGAACCTTCTAAAAAGGAAGGTTTGACTCGTTCTCCGGTGGCCTGCGGCTCTGTCTGGGGCAGGGGGGGAAGGATCAGCTCCAAGGAGGAGTGAATGCCAGGCTGAGAAACCAAGGAAATGGGGCCTCTCGGTGGCTGGACCATGCCCGGGGCACTTCCATTCTAGCTAGGGAGATAGACACATCAGTGGCTACACCTGAGGTCATTTTACCCCCAAGGGACACTGGATTGTCATAACTGAAGGGCTGCTGCTCGAGTCTTGTGAGTAGAGGCCAGCAATGCCGGCATCCTACAGGGCACAGCACAGCCTCCGTCAGCCAGGGCCCATCACCCCAAGTGTCCACAGTGCTGCCGTGGAGAAGCCCCGCTTCTCCCCACAGGTCCCACAGTGGTGGGCATAGTGATGCACGCGCTGAGGAAGACCCGTGTGAGGTGCTGTGAGCACCTAACCAAGGTCCTGTCCTAGGCCTTCCTTGGGGGAAGCTTGAAAGCAGGACCTGAGCAAGGCATTGCTTTATTCAGACAGCGAAGAGCTTGACGCTACCTGACTTTTGGGTGTTTTACTTCATGATCCACTCACCCAAAGCAAAGCACTAGAGGCTTGAGGGTATCTCCATCACCCGGCCCTCTATTCCTGAGCTCTAGAGCCTCACTGGGGAGGACTTGCTGAGAGCCCAGTGTGTGCCTGAGGCCAGGGCTGCCTATGAGTGGCGTGGGACTTGCCTGCAGGTAGTTTTATCTGCTCACGAGGCCACTTTACGGAGGTGTTCAGAGGGCCATGGGGACACAGCAGCTCTGCTTGAGGGTTTAAGGAAGCCCCCTGCCCAGAGGAAGTATGGTCAGAACCAGTCTCGAGGCCCAGCAGGAGGAGGTGTCCCAAGCAAAGCCAGCAGCACACATGAGAGTCTGAAGGCCCAGGAGAGCCTGCCCATCACAGAACTGCCAACAGGTGAGTATAGCTGCCACATGGGTGTAGGGGCGTCGGAAGACTGAGTTGGGAGCCTGCCTTCACAGCAGGAAGGCTCAGGACTTGCCCTCAGGACATGGGGAGGTGCTGGAAGGGTTAAAGCAGTGGAATGATGGGGAAAACTGCGTCTGAAAGCTACGGGATACTCTGGTTTAGTTGCACGCCAGCACATACGTGGGCCCCGGCGTCATCCTCCTGTCTTTGGGAGCATCTTGTGTGTCCTCTGGAGAAAAGGACTCGGCTTCAGCCTGGGACTGCGAAAGGTCTGCAGGTGCCCTCTGGGTAAGATTTGCCACCTTGTACAGCGGGGCTCAGAATCAGCCCCAATTCACCCAAATCTCTCCTGTTTTCTGTCCTTGAGGTTTGTGGGATAGATGATTTGTGCAGCTGGTCTATGTGGGCAAGTGCAGAAAGTCTGCAAGGGAGGGGGAGGCCACCCAAAGCTACGGGAGTGAAGGTTAGGATGAGGTTGGTCAGGGGGACTCCACAAGCTTGGGCTTAGGGGCTCTGATGAGCCTGCAGCCATGGAAAAGGATCTGGCCCCTAGTAGAGACTCAGAGGGGGCAGACGGGAGGGAGGAAGGTTCATAACACCACAGCACAGAGACCTCGTGGGTGGGAGGAGGGTGTGCAGAGTCCCCTAAGAGTAGCACCTCTGGGGGTCTGGAGATGATTTGAGGGGGGTGGAGGAGCTACACTATGTGGCATGTGGGATCTTAGTTCCCCAACCAGGGATCAAACCCATACTCCTTGCATTGGGAACATGGAGTCTTAACCACTGGACTACTAGGGAGGTCCCTGGAGCTGACAGTTGCCCTGGATTTAAAAGATGATATTTTCTCAGGCAGGGAAGGGAGACAAGCATTACAGACCAAGGGACAGGTTTAAGTTAAGGCAGAACATTTATGTCAAAATCTACTCTTTTTCCCCAAATACCATTCTACTTCTAAGAATTAAGGCTGATGACTTTTAGGTGGGGACATCGGAGGCTGGAATAAACACTTTCCCCACCTCCCTAGCAGCTGACAAGATCTGGCCCGTGTGATGCACGCAGAGGTGGGAGGTGTCTGTTTCTTAGGAACCTCTTTAAAATAAAGTTGGCATCCATCCTGTACTTTTTTCTTCCCCTTCCACCTTCCCCCTCACCAGGAAACGAACATGGAATTTGCATAGCCATCTTTGACCATGTTGAGAAGGGAACAGCAACAAAATCAAAGGAGCCTGGGTCCTTGAGACCCAGAAACCCTGACTGCCCACCTCAGGACTTGAGAAATAAGCTTCTGTGCTATTTAAGCCCCTAGTGTTTGGGCTTTCTCTGAACCTACTCCTAACTGATACATATTGTCTGGTTTAATTTATATTGAAATCATGTCAGACCATTTGAAGCTGAAAATTTCACAAAATCACAACCTGAATAGTGGCAGTTTGTGATTACTAGCTAAGGAATTCAAACTTTACCCTGTGGGCAGTAGGGAACAAAAGATTTCTGAGCCAGATGATCAGAACTGTGCTTTAGAAAAATCCCTCTGGCAGCAAGTTGGGGGACAGTTTAGAGGCACTAAAGAAAGATAATCAGAAGCTGCCAGATAAGGAAAGTCTCCCTAAATTCTGAAGACCAATATAGGGATTACCAGCATTTAATGAGGCCAGCAGAGGAAAGCAGCCTAAGACAAAACAGTGTCAGGAGAGAATCTTACTTAAAATGGATCATCTCTTAACAAGTACAGGGGGGGGAAATCCAGTACAGTATATTGGTTTTAATTTCCAGGCATGTGGAGTTGGGACAGCTCTTCTAGCCCACCAGGTAAACAATATCCTTTTTAAGTGGCGGAAGGAGGACACTTCGGCTCCAGGAGACTAAAGGATGACAGACGGGCATGACCTAAACCAAAGGCTGGGCGCTCCGGAAGCCCTGGAGCTCCATGCCTGGCTCTCCCTGTTCCCTTCCAGTAGCACCTGCCCTGCAGCTGCCTACATCCACGGCCTTAATATTGATGACTATCTGGTGTGCTGGGACACCAATTAACCCTGCTGTCCTCAGGGAAAGACTGAGGCCCAGAAGGAAAAGTTTCTCGCGTTAACCTGTGGGCGTTAGGCATCTCAGTCCTGATGCCTTGCGGCTCTCACGCTCAGCCCCACGGTCACTGGCAGGTTCCATGCCCTGGGCGGGATGCTGGACCCCGCCAGGACAGCTGGAGGAAATGGTGGGAGGAGAGAGGCTCAGTCCTGGCACAGCACCTGCCTGCAGGTGAAGGCAGGAAGATCCTGGGAAACAGGTGAGCTGACACTATCTGACGGGGAAGAAAGCTCGCCCTGTGTCCCTCACACTGCGGCGTTCAGACATTTCCACATGCACTGTCATTTGATTTTTATAGCTTCCCTGTGCCATTGAGGTTTTACTATGACCACTTTTCCAGAAGAAAAAGATACAGAGAGAGAGAGAGGAGGGGAGCCGCTCAAGGCCACACATCACGAAGCAAGCTGGCACCACAAGCCAGGCCCCCTGGCCCTATCTGGTCACTGGGCCAGTCAACTCCAGTTCCTTTGGCCCCACAGTTGGCCCTGAGTTCCCTCTTTTCTCAGGACTCCTTGGTTTTGTTCAGTGATAAAAGACATGTCACCCAGTTTCCCTGAGTCTACGTCTCATGGAGAAGCATGGAAAAAAGGAGAATCAGGAGGCTATTGAAGCAGTCCAGTTGAGAATTCATTCACTTATTCATTCAGTAAATAGTTTGAACACCTGTTATGTGAAAGGCACTGTCGAAGGTGCTAGGGATACAGCAGGAGGCAAAAAATCCCGGCCCCTGATACCAGAGAGCTTACATTCTGGTGGAAGAGAAAGACAGTGAACGTGTGAGTAAGTGAGGTAATTACAGAGCACGACAAGTGCTGTGAGAGAAAAAAATACAGTGGTTTCATAGTGGCAGGGATGGGGCGGGGGTGCGGGAGGTACTCGAGAGAAGGTGGGCAAGGAACATGTGAGCCCTGAATAAGTCAGCCAAATTTTCAGGCTGGGGGAGCAGCATGTTTAAAGCCCAGTGTCTGAACAATATGACGAGGCCTGAACTGACTTAGTAAGTGAGAGTGGAGAGGAGTGGATTCCTGAATATTTACAAGGAAGAAACAACCAGATAGAGGGAATGGGGTGTCCGAAGGTTGAACTTTGGCACCTTGCTGGAAGGAGGTGCCCAAGTTAGGGAGCCCTTAAGAGAGGGAGGGTTTTAGCGACAGGCCTTTAGCCTCTAGGGGGCGCTCTTCCCATCTGTACAATAGCTCGAGCAGATGATAACAACCAAGGTTAGCACTTCAGAATACTATGATCCTCACACTTTCCTAAATATCAAACGGATCAAGATTACAACATAAAAATCAGTTCTAAAAGTAATATAGAATAGGGACCTCTTTAGGGGTCCAGCAGTTAAGACTCCAGGCTTCCAATGCAGGGGGCAAGGTTGTTGGATCCCTGGTCAGGGAACTAAGATCAAAAATGCCCTGTGGCGTGGCGGGGCGGTGGGGGGGAGGGGGAGGTTGTTAAAGAATAAACCATGGGAAGTATTTTTTTATTTAATTTTTTTAAGCTCAGAGTAAGGAAGGCCTTTCAAACTACAACACAAAATCCAGAATCAAAGTAAAATAAAGGATGGATAAATTCGATCCCATAAACATCTGGTGTTTTTGCATGGCAAAAAAGCACTCTAGGCAAAGTCAAAAGCCAACAAACCGAGGAAAAATATTTGCAACTCATTTGACAAAGAGCTAGTGAGCTATAAACCTGTAAGAAAAATGGGCAAAAATATAAGCAGACACAGACACAGCAGAAAGAGAAAATGTATCTCTTAAATATATGAGGCTCACCACACTCAACATAACTGCAAATTAAACTATCCTGAGATACCATTTCTCAGCTAACAGACTGACAAGAGATCATAAAGTTTGATAACGTGTTGATGAGGAAATGCAGAAAGCACCTTTTGTACTCTAATGGAATGATTTTCAAATTATCAGTCTGTTAAGAGCAGAACTGTATGTATAGTACACCACCATTTACTTTGTATGTGTAAAATAGCTCTGAGGATATTTACAAACGGATTGCATTGCCTCTAGGCCACCAGAGGTCAGAACTGGTTAAGGGTTTTCACTCTATACCATTTGAACCAGTTAATGAATTATCCGTTCAACATATAATTTTTAAAGTAAATAAAAACAGTAAAGAAACAAAACTTCTTTGTGGTTCTAGGTAAATTGGATTAGTGAAAAGGGACCTAATATTTATCGAGCTTCTACCATGTTCCAGATACTGTTCTAAGCTCTCTCACATAAACTTTTCGTTACCCTGTTAGTCCACTGAGATGGGATAAATTATTCTAATTTTACAAGTTAGAAAATAGATTAAGTTGGTCCAGTAATGTAGCCAATGTCACACCTAGTCTAGCTCCATAGTTCCAACCTTCTTCACTTTCCACGTTGCTTTCATTAGAACAAGTCCTATTTTTAAAATAATACTGCTGTTACTTTATTGGGCACTTATGATGTGCTGAGATGCCCTATCCTTCTCAGAACAACTCCGGAGGGTTGCAGTTACTATCCCCTTTAGAAAACAAACGGGGCTCAACGAGGAGGCGCGTAATGAGCCCATGGTCACAGATATTTAGATGATTAGAAGCCAGGTTTAATTCCAAATCTCCTGCTCGAAAAGTCGAAGCCACTCCCGGTGCATAGGACAAAAGCAGAAATGCTGGCAGGACTGTGGAGGGAGGCATGGACGCTTCCGGGGGAAGTGGCGAAGCCAGCGGGCTACGCTGCGCGCCAAGCTCGCGAGAGAACTGGGGAGTGACGGCCCACGCACCCGCCCGCACCGCCTGTCGATCACCTGGCCCCGCCCCGCGCCGGCGCGCCCCCGGGCAGGCCCCGCCCCCGTCCCTGGCCGGGCGGGAAGCGAACGCGCTCTCTCCCTCCCGTTACCCTCCGCCTGCGGGGAGGCGGGAGGCGCGTGCTCGCGAGCTACGTGCTCGCGTACGTCACCGGGTTCGGCTACGTCCGTCCCGCCGCTCGCCCGTTGCCGCCGCCGCCGCCGCCGTCGCCGCGCTCTCGCTTCGCCGGCCGCCGCCTAAGGGGGGCTGGGGCCGGGCCAAGTAGCCGCCGCCGTTGCCGGGATGCCACGGGTGTACATCGGCCGCCTGAGCTATCAGGCCCGGGAGCGCGATGTGGAGCGCTTCTTTAAGGGCTATGGGAAGATCCTGGAGGTGGATCTGAAGAACGGGTGAGGAGGACTGAAGAGGGGCCTGCTCTGTGGGGACGGGGCCCCGGCGGTGGTGGGAGGCCGCGGGGACGGGAGAGGGACGCCTGCCCCACTAGGAGCTGCTACCGGCCATCTCCGGCTCCGCCATAGTAGCGGCGCCTCGGGGGCGCGGGTAGGCCCCAGTCCCACTGCGCCTGCGCGGGTGGGGGTGGCGGAGGGATAATGGGAGCGATGGTGAGCCGCTGAGTGGGACGGGGGGGGGGGGGGGGGCGAGGAAAACCCGAGTGGGACTGCGCTACGGGAGGGAGAGCACACAGCTCCAGGGCGGCCTGGGTTTTTCTTCTCGGGACCTGGTTCGTCTCCAGCAGAGACCGACCTTTCCCGCTCTGAGGGCTGCTGGAAACAGATTTCCTGCTTCCTTTTCACCTCTTCCCCTGTTTACTGGGTCAGATGGTCACAGCGCATCTCTCCCAGGGACGGGAGCTCTGAAGGGACCCCCCCTCCCCTTCTTTTTTTTTTAGACTTGACATGTGCTATTCTTTTTTTGGGCGGGAGACTGGTTTGAATCGTCTAGGGACGGTTTCAAAAGTATCGGCTTGCGGTTCTGAAAGCCTTCACCGTTCCCTCTACAAGGGTAAATTAAAAGTCTTAGCCAGCTATCTTTTAAGACTGCGTACAGTTTCCATGCTGGGGTTTCCGTTCCTCGGCTTGCCAGGAAATTGTTCTGAGGTTGTCGAATTTGTTGGAGAATAGTGGCCACCATGAGTTGTCAACTCGTTGATGTAGACGGAGACCTGCAGTTAGAAAATTGCTGACTTCCTACCCGGCTATGGTCTGTTACTTGTATTCCTAATCTACCCTGGTAGAGCAGGGCCCACAGGAGTGACAAGTTTCAGGGATAACAGATGAGTCAGGACTGGAGAAGATAGTCAACAGGGAAAACTGAGAACCAGGAAATGTTAGGTAGGACTTCAAAGACACGGATATAAAAAAAAAGGAGTAGGGGAAATATTTTAGGGTACTAAACCTTGGATGTTAGAAGAACTCTTGGCACCCCACCCCCCGCTTTTTAAGACCTACTTTGCAACAGGTCTGACATGACTAGAGTTTATTCCCCAAAGTAATACTAGCAGCTAACACTTGAGAGGCTTATGAAGTTTTAATTGAATATTGGAGAAAAATCGGAAGCTAGAATGTACTCAAACTGTTGGCTGGGTTTAAAAAGTCATTTCAAATCGATTGTTAGGAAGAATCACCTTCTTATTAAGGGAAATGTCCTCCATCAAGTGTTCATTATGAATGCTGATTTCTTTCAAAGTAGAAGGCTTAGGACATTCTTCATTTTGTCCATTAGAGCTTTCAACTCTTAAATTGAGCAAGGGGTTGTTACTGTGATAAATATGTGTCTGAATGATTAAGTTCAAACTCCCAGGTTTCTTCGGAGCCCAACCAAGTTGACAGAATAATTAAATTTTGGAGAAAGCATGGGTTTTGAAAGCAGACAGGCCTGGGTCAAATCCTATCTAAACCGCTTACTTTCTATGAGCAAGTTACTTCTCTGATTCTGAGTTTCCTCGGCCACCAGAAAAAGGAAGATTAGAGATAAGAATTGTAAAGCATTTGGCTTGTAGCTGTAAATGGTGTCTGTAATCAAAGGAGTCTGACCATGATCATAAGGAGGCAGCTTGTTAAGTGTTTAGTAACATGAAACCATATTTGGTGAGGTCTTGATTCTAAGGTTACTCAAGTGATAGCAAGAAATGATGTTGATACTCATGGGAAAATAATTAATGGAAACTAATTAATGAAATAAATATGTTGATAACCACCAAGATGGCTGTTGATGTGCTAAATGAAGAGAGGAGGCAGAAAAACAGTTCTACTCTTGAGTAAATTAAGTGCCTACATTTGAATTAAGAAATGCTTGGTCTTTTTAAACTCAGAAAGTGAAACTCGGAGTGGTTTGTTTGAAATAGGCTTTGAAGTATGGATTGACGGGGTCTTGAAGTGAAGTGTCTGGGAATAGTGTATGTCCTAACTGGTGATGGTTAAATGAGGAAGAATTTTGAAATACAGTTAACAGTCTAGCTTGGATGAGTCTCACAAATGATCTAGAAGGTTTAACAACATAAATCAGAAACAACTATAAGGTTTTACACTAAACATTCAAAGTCATGTGCTCTGGAGGGAATAATGGAGCAACCTGAGAAATGGTGATATAAGAGGAAGAACTGCTGCTCCTTCCAGGACCATATATACATGGGTCTCTAAGGGGAACTATTCATTTTTGCAGTTGTGCAGCTAAACCATGGTATGCATGAAATCTGGTTGAAAGTCAAAGGAATGAGGAATGGGAAGTCCTTTTAGGGATTTGAAGGCAGGTGTGACAGACACCAAACTGGTGCACCTCCTGGCAGCATTCAGGAATCATTGCAGAGAAAATGAGTTCTGAACAAAGTAGATAGACTATTTCAAACACAAATTGACTGGATTAGATGGCAGTAGTGCAGAGGAGTTTAAAAGGATGGCATAATTTAACAACATGTGTAAATTTATAGTCCTGAAAACTAGGAAGCATAATAGAGCTCCTTAAGAATCATTTTTAACACATCTGGATTGTGATTATTAGTATCTCTGAAACTGAAAAGCAGAATTTGGATGGTTAGGGCTTTGAAGATTGCTGAAGAGTTGGAAATTTGTAGAAGTGAGATTTATCAGTAGACCGTAGATAAGTTGAGCTAAAGGACTGTGTGTAAAGTTCAGAATTAAATAGGCATACCGCAATGGTAGAAGTAGAAAGGTTGACCAAACAGGGAAACAGATGAACTCTCCAGAGGAGATTAAGTATCCAGGAGAAAATTTTATGGACCCTCTTGGGATCAGGAGAAGGCAGATGTATACAGGAGTGCATTGCCAGCTTTTATTGTACCAGGTAACCCTAATCTAGATTGCCTTTGTTGTAGAGAACTCCTGGAAAGATGGTTCAGTTTGGGACCACGAACACGTGCTGTAAATCTCCCACGACCATATAGGCCTCTCCAGATCCCCTCTGGTCTCCTCCATCTGTGTGTGCCACACTGACTCCAGCAGGAGCACTGGGGACCAGGGGTCAAGGAAGCAACAATATTAGCACCTGTTATAGCCTTCCAGCTCTGTGGTAACTTGCTGTCTTTGATTATTTGTGGATTCTGTGAACTTTCTTTTTTGTTAAGTCACTTTTTTTTTTCATGTAAAATGTAGATGGTTTTTTAATACAGTATTTTGCCACACAATATTGTAGTCTTGCTCATAGATCTTTCTATTTTAATTTTTCCATATTTTAGTTGGTGACTGAGACAGATCATATTCTAGGATTATTTTATTTGCCTAGCAGCTGGACATGTAAACCCCCACACCATTGAGGAGTTGGGGGGGTTGATTTTTTTTTAGTTGGTTAAATGTGTGAATTAAAACTCTCCAGGGAAACTTCTCTATAAATTACAGAACCTGTGTTTCATAATACAGTGAAACTGAACAGCCAGAATTTACAGAGGTGTAATTGGATTTTCATGATATCTTAAGTATTACCAAGAAGTTTTTTGTTTTCACCCTTTGCTTAAAATTCCTTCAAGTAGAAGATAACCTTAGTTAATTTTTTAAATGTATTAAAGCTTTCAGTGAGTTGCATCGTTTTTCTGTTAGTCCCTGAGCACTGTAGGGCATTGTTAGTATCCTGAGATACTGGGATAGAATCTCTGCCAACCCCAGAACCCTCACAGGGATGTTCTCTTTTGACTGAATCCTTGATGAGAGCCTGTTTTTCTTCTTGTTTTTTAAAGAGACAATAAGGAAAATATAATTGCTATTCAGAGTTATTGGTTTCTAGCTAACTGAAATGTTAGTTTATTATTTAAAACCCATTCTTGGGAATTCCCTGGCAGTCCAGTGGTTAGGACTCAGCGCTTTCACTGCTGAGGGCCTGGGTTCAGTCCCTGGTCAGGGAACTAAGATCCTGCAAGCTGTGAGGCATGCCCCACCCCCACCCCCACCCCCAGAAAAAAAAGCCCTTACTTAATTTGTATGACATTTCAAAATACTATTTTATCTCTGGTTAAAATTTTTTCATATTGTACAATTTTTAAAATACAGAGGACAAAAAATTAAAAAATGACACTGCACTTAGACTTTGCCTTTTCTTGCATGCACTTCTTCAGCCTCCTCACCTCCCTTTTTCACAAACTTGGATTCATACTGTTGTGTTCTGTTTTGTAACCTGCTGCTACCTAACAGTCTGATCCTCTTCTTTGTCATTGAGTGATCTCCTGCAACCTTGTTCTTAAGCGGTACATAGTATTCCCACATGTAAACACTGTTTAATATAATGTACATAAGCAAAACCAGGTTGTACGGCAAGGCGATTGTCTTTGGTCTTCCACTTTTTTGTACATATATAAATATCTTTTATATAAATCTTAGGGCAGATTCCTGAAAATTGACTTTGGAGACAGAGTGTATGCCATTGTCCCTCAGTGTACTCACAGGATTGCTTCTGGGACCCGCTGTAGATACCCAAGTCTATGGATGCCTAGGTCCGGTAGTCTGCTCCGCACACCCGCAGGTTCTGTCAGCCACGGATGTGAAGAGCTGACTACACGCATTTTGAACTTTGGCTGCCTTTTGGTTTCCATATTATTTATTTATATTTTCACTTGCCGTATTTAAGAGTTCCTTTTTCTGAACTTACTCTTTACCATAATGTTTTAATATTATGACTTTTAAAATTAGAATATCCATATATATGTGTTAGGAAGTTATCTTGCAGCCTTTAAGCCTTATCCATTTAGCTTACCAAGCATAACAGATTGAAGAACTTTTAAAGAAAAGTAAGTTTTTGACTGACTAGAAAATAAATACAGGTTCGTTGTAGATAATTTAGACAATACCAAAAGCACAAAGTAGAAGTTATCATTAAGAATCCTTTTAACATAGACAAGGTTTTATGTGCAATTTTATGTCCCTCTTTGTCTGCTTAATTTTTCTCA